CCCATTTTCTTGCCAAAATGCATTTTAGAATGGTGATTTGATAGAGAATGTATGTTTAAAAAATACGGAAATGTTTTGGATTTGCGTATGATATTATTTTATTGAAAACTGTATGATTGAAAATAAAAGACAAAAATATATTTTGAAAATAATGTTGATCAAACAAGAATTTAGGTGGGGGGAGGGGGGGGCCACTGATCCATTACCCCACTGTAAATCTGCCACTAGTTATATGTATTAATAAACTTTGTGTGGTGTGGCTTAAATTCGCAACTTTTCAATCATATATTGTACCATTTTTTATCAAAATTTATTAAAAATATGATTTTTAACCACACCAAATAGGGGCAAAATGTAAGTTATTGTGTAATTTATTTATTTATTCTTCATGCTCTTTGTTACATACCGCAAGACTGTTAATTATTATCGGTTGTGCTATATATACATAATAGTTTACATATACATGATGTGGTGAGATATAATTGAATCAAAATTTCTTCAATCAAATAATAATACTTGTACATAAACAGTTATATAGTGATTTACATACATATGACGTATCAAAAAAAGAGTGGAGAATTTATTTATTTGATTAAAGAAATTCTGACATAATTATATCTCATCATATCATGTGTATGTCAACCATTATGTAAATCTATTATATACATATAGCACAACCGATAAAAAGAAACTTCCTCACTTTCTTTTTGATACATCATATTTATGTAAACTATTATTTAACTGCTTATGTACAAGTAATGTTATTCATAATTTAAAGGGCTTGGAATTGTATATATGACACCAATATGTTAAAGATATGGGAATTGCTTCGGTTGTCGACCACCAACTTCGAATTAAAGCATGATTGTCCTTCTAAGAGTTAGCAGACTCAAATATTAGCTATGATTTCTTTCTTATTTTCCAAGAAAGAGTATGGGGCGAATTAGAATTTTTGTGACCCCAAATATACTGTTAACATTCTGACTATCAACTTGGAACTGATTCAAATGAAACTCTTTTAAGTTGAAAGCTATTGTCCTCTAAATCATCAGCCTTTTCTTCGATAAATTGTTCAAAACACTATTTTTTTCTAAATTTATTTTACTTTTTATGTCCGGATCTTTAACGAGATTCTTAATCCTTTATGAATATGAAAAATTAAGTACTAACACTGGATTGATCATGAAAACTAATCTGAGAACACGAGTGAAAAAAGAAGAAGAAGTTTCTATTAAATTAAAATGTAAGAAAATAAAAAATGAAATTCAAGATTCTTTAAAATGCCAGTGAGGAATCTCTCGTCATAACCTATTAAGACAACACCACACATAAAACTTGTTTGGCTGTAATTTTTAATTTCCCTTTTAATTACGTTTTATACTCCTAAATATGAGTTTTAATTGTTTTCCTGCTCTAAATTAATTAATTTATCGATTAAATAAATTGAAAAAAAAAATGGAAAACCCGTCTAATCATAGCAAAAACAGATTAGTTTCTTGAATAATAGAATTAGCAGGGCAAATTTCCAATCCCAAATTTGATTTAAAAATGATGATAGAAAATAATTAATTCGCATATCCCTTTTCTTTAATTTAGTTCAATTTAATATACAAAACATTTAAGTAATTTTAAATAAAATTTAAGCTTTTTAATTTGAATTTATGTTTTATGAATCTTAATATTTAAATAGTCAAATTATATGACATTAAACATATAGAACCCTTGGAGAAAAGGTAGAACACATTACAAGAAGAAAACAATAAACAACATAAATTACAGAATCATACATAAAGGGAATATGAATAATCCGAACAAGAATTTTTTTTTTTTTTTTTAATCCACTGAAATAAAATAGAATAAAAAGAAAAAAATAATTATCTATATATGAACTGGGCTGCTGGCTGCTACTGCAACTCCTGCATGCTCGTCGTCTTCAGTGACCAAGTTCAATATAAGACGGCCATTGGCCCTATGAGCTTCAAAATATTCTTTGCCCTTCACTTTCTCTTCTTGGATTACCACTCTTCCATCGCTAGTGCTGTATTTTTTCATAGCCCATGCCGAAATTGGTGGTGGGTACTCTTTTTTTTCTTTCTCCACCACTCTCCGATGTCTTCGGCTGCCAACATTGTCCGCCGGCGGCATAAAAGCATTAAAATCCCTCACAAATTCAAGACAACTCTCCGCACCAATGTAATCACCCAATTCTGAGTTCTGCATGGCAGAGAATTGTATAAAGAAATTTTGGGTTTTGAGAGAAAATCTGTTGGTTTTGCATGGGATACAGGCCCATATATATAGATATACGGGCGGCATAAATAAGGATGAGAAATCGAGAAGGGAAGCAGAATTTTGAAGAAAGGGAAAAGATTGACAGTGCCAGCTAATTTCATACTCCGGAGATTGGGTTATTTATGGATTTGAATTTCAGAGTTAGAAAAATCATATTAAACTTTTGCATGGTATATACAGCAAAAAAAATACCCGGAATCGGATATAGAAATAAAAATATTATTAAAATGGAATAAATTAATAAATAAAGAAATTGATAGGAAAGATATTATGATTTTATAAAATACGATGAGTTAATATGGAAGTGTTTGTTCAATATTTGAATGTAGTTCTTCGCGTTTCTATTTTTGTTAACTTTTATCTTATGAATGAAATTAATGTTATTTGTTAACATAACTCCATCTTACGGATGGTGTTTTTTGATTTTTAAAGTTTCTAAAAGTATTAAACCTAGGTAATTTAGATTGATCTAACTTGTCTTTAACATGTTCGAGTACTCTACTTTAGAAATTTGTCATTCATATGGATAATATAATTGTTCCCATTAATGCATAACATATTTACATATCAAGGTGTGAGTATCGGGTTATTCGTGACCACAATACAATTCATGCTGACACGTATCAAACATCTACCTGTAACAACTTGTACAGATAACAAGTTTATTTTTTGTTGATGCATTCATCTCACAATGAGAACATCATGTAAATTTTAAATAATTTCCCGTTGATGCACGCATCTCATTGCGAAATAAGCATGTGAAGTTACAATGAGATAAGCGTGTGAGATTTCAAATTATTTCCCGTTGATGCATGCACCTCACAGTGAGATTAAATGTGAAGTTTCAGTTATTTCCCGTTGATGCATGCATCTCACAGTGAGATTAATGTGTGAAGTTTCAAAAATTACTAAGCCCCTGTTTGACAGACATTATTTGAAAACTATTTTTTCTACATATTCATTTTCTACCACATATTTACACAATAAAATATTTTGTACGTAAAATCTGCAACTTTTTCCTACTTTTCATCCACATATTCTCCTAAAAATCACTTTTCAAAACATTTTTTTTTCCAAATCATAGTTGTCAAACGGGGCTAAATGTGAGGTTATTCATAACTCACACAACTAATATGTCTTTGGCACAATCCATGTCTGACACAACTTTGTGTTCTGGTTGATGCATAAAATCAAAGCATGTTGTTAAAGAAATATTTTATATATTTGTACATATTATTTTTATTGGTTTTCTTAATATAGACTGAATTTTCAATGTTAAGGATAATTGTAAAAAACGTGAAAACAGGATACAGCTCCAAAAAGGCAGTCAATCCTCAACGGCGGACCCAGCACCCAGCTAGGAGGCACGGCTGCGCGTGCCAAGCTCCTCCAAAACAGTTTTGGGAAGAGGGAGACCGGGGCCTGGTTGATGGTTCTGGTTTGTCTTCTTCCTCCATTCCTCGTCTTTTTTCTTTTTTTTTTTTGAAATTGGGCCCTTACAACCCAGCCCATCTATTTTTATTTATTTTTATTTTGTAATTGGGCCATCTGAAGATGATGGCCCTTTTATTTTTTATTTTGTAATTGGGTTGGGCCATTTGTTTGGCAACCCAATCCTTAATTATATATAGGTCCAACCCGTTTAATTCCCCTATTTTTCCCCAATTCTTTCCGACTTCAATTGGTTGGCGATTTTGATTTCTTCCGCAATTGTCCAGCCATCTTCTCCCATCCACGGCCCGCCTACCGATGAATCGTCATGACCACCTTCCACTAGTCCTTCCAGCCATGTCGGAAGCTCCTGTCTTGTGAACAGCTGCAGCAGCCGATCGACGCCATGAGCTTTATGTTTTCCTTTGTTTTTTTTTGGTGTTATTTTCTATTTATGAATCATGAAATCATGATTTATGATAGTTTTAGTGTTGTTTTATGTATGATTTATGAATTGGATTTGGAATTGAAAAAATTAAAATTGGATTTGGATTTGGATTTGGAATTGGGGGAATTGGAAATTTGGTTTTGAAATTGGATTTATGAATGTTGGTACTTTTCACTTTCAGTTCACTGATTTTGATTTGAAATGAGAAATTAATTGTATCAATATCATAAATTTGAAATGAGATTATGAGAAATTAGTTCATTGATTTATGTTGCATACTTGCAATTATAGATTATGGAACGATTTTTCTACAGAAATGGAAGTCCATACCCGTTTCTTCCAATTTTAGTTTGCATCTAATTCCGCCATTGCTTCTAGTCGAGCAGCCGATGTGTTAAATAACACTAAAAAGTCCCGGGCTCAATTTAATTCAAATGATCTTGTACCTGATCCAGGGAAACGCCCCCTATTGAGTTATATGATCCTAATGCCAAAGATGATGTTATGATGGCATACTTAGAGAAATGTCATTGTCAACCACATGGACACGACTTTCCAAAAAGACAGATGGGAAGTGATAATAGGTGTTTTCGAAAAGAATGGTTCGCTGAATTTGATTGGTTAGAGTACAGTGTAGAAAATGATACGGCGTATTATTTGTATTGCTACTTGTTCAAACCGGCTAGAGGGGGTCAAGGAGGTGGACATATATTCACTAAGATCGGCTTTAGGGATTGGAAGCACAAAAAGACATTGAAAGATCATGTCGG